AAAAAAAAAAAAAAAAAAACCTATTGGCTTAAAGTGAAAGACACTCTCAAATAAAGTTTTATAAATAGAAAAATAAGTATAAAAAGAACATCCCCTTATACAGTCCAACCTCACTCAATTTCAAATTAATTTTTTTAATGGTAATTTCAGATTAATTAAAGCTTAATGTAACTTCTGCGTACTAAAAGTTAAGACTAAAAATAATAATTAATAATAATGACTTTAATCGTCCATACACTTTGCGCGGTCTCTTCATCGTCCCTTATCTCTTACGGTTATCCAAAGGAATAGGAATGCAACTCGAAATGGAAAGAATCCTCAGTCTATTCATCGGGCCAGCACATTCACATGTGCTTTTCTTTATCTTCATGAATTTAGAACTACAAGAACAAGAAACTCAGCCTCCTAAACGATTCAATTCAGTTATCTCTTCTACATTGTGTCCACATATCCTATTCTTCAAAATTGCTCAGCATGGTATAAACAAAATATACAAGCCCTCAAAATGGTAGCAAAAATAAAAATGCTACAACCACATTGCTGGCTGTTTTTTGGAAGTGCAAATGCTAAATTTAACATTACCCAATGGACCAGCAAATCTCTATCATAAAAATTAGTCCACAGAAAGTGCTCCTGTCCCTTTCTTCTGGTTCCTTTCACCAAAAACCAAGGTCGTGTGCCTGGATTAGTGACATCATGGTCCTCAATCACAATGTTCTGAAAGGAAATGGAACTGCTATCTAAATATTGGGTATGATAAGTGTGCTCTATATTCTACAACGAATACAATCTATACCATTCAAAATGAGGGAAATTTGGATAATAAAGAAACTGACCTATCTTAAATTTTGCATGGAGAAGTATGGAACTTAGGAGGCAAACTCTAGTTCAGCTCGCTTCAATACTGACGTTACCCTGGTAAAAAATTCCGGTTCCTTTTCCCTGATATCATCAAGTGTCCTCAACTCATGTTCATCTGCCTACAAAATTGAGGGAAATCAGATGTTAGAAGAAAAAAATCATAAACCAAAGATAAGTATCTTTACAGCAGGGAAACGAGAAAAGGGAATGAAGACTAGACTTTGGCTTCCAAAAAGATGTATATAATACAAAAACTAACTTGAAAAATATATAAACTAAGGCGCCAAGCTTTTTTTTTTTTTTCTAAGGCGAAGTTAATGCAAATATGTATATTAAATTAAAATAATTAAAATGAAGAAATTCAGCTGAATTTTGACCATATCTCAAAAAGCAACTAACTTCAGTTCTTAGATCATGTCACATCTTGAAAGATTAATGCAACAGCACTTGGTACAGAAAGCAGTATAAATATAGGGAATCACTTCCCGTTCTTTCCTTTCCCCTTTTGAAAAGCAATATTAATTCAAGTATTTAATTCTGCTATTCAACTTTTACCTCTCTAAACAATTGCTTTTCTTCTCTTTTTGTTCCCCAAATGATGAGAAGATTAACAAGAGGGAAATATAATGAATATCTTGAAAAGAAACAAAAAAAAAAGATTATTGGAAAAAGGAACACTCGTTCTTTCACAAAATCTAAGTTACCTCTTTAAATTTTAAAAGAATTAAATTTGTTACAGATGCTGGCTTTGCCTGGTCCCATCTGAAAAGAAATAATGAACAGAGTGCAGTGAAAAACGAATCCAGTGAGAAAGAGAAGCTTGAATACTCTGGTCAGGTCTTCCATTCCCACAGAATCAACGCTACTCAATGGTGCTAATTCTTTTCCTTTGCTTAAAGAATAGATATATGATTAGCCAAACAAAAAGTTCTCCATGCATAAAAAGGGTTGCGAGAAGAACATTAACAAGTGGAAACAAATACTGTCATTTTTGAGTTCTACACACCTACAGAAGGAAAATCATAAATGTTAAATGCTCCCCCGTAAACAGTAGCCACATCATACCTTACAAGCATTAACTCATTAACAGATCGCCACATTCCACGCCCCACATCTGTTGTTGACTGCTCCCTTGCACTTCGCCCATGCCACAATTCTTTTGCAACGTACATCACTTCTTCAACATCAACCTATTATGGAACAGCAATGTTTAGCAGGGAATATAAATATTTTAAGATCAAGGATTTTGATTCCAAACAGTAAATCAAAATTAAAGAGCCAAAAATTCCAAAATCAACAAGCTGCCTTCAGCCCATTGTCAAATGTTTTCCTTTGCGCCCCCCCCCCCCCCTTCCAATAGCTATATCAACAAGAACATGGGACTGACATCACCCTTCAGAAATCTCAACAAGGCACTCTGATTAATTAACAATAAGTAGACAATGTGCAAAATTACACTATACAGCATGGGAGTTTGAGGACTCAGAACAAAGTAACTCAAAAAGAACTCTCTAAAGGAAACACTTCAGAGGGAAAAGGAAAATAAATAACCATACCTGGACATGCATGGCTGTGCCATATACTGACTCCTCATGTTCAATAAGCCGTTGATGAAGCAGTTGGTAATGATCTATATCTAGATTTACAATGGGCTCAGTTTGAACTTGCAACGCAGCAAGTTGTGTCACAACATAGGAGGCCATGACCTGTCCAAAAATGGCAGGAATGGTGCCAAGAACAGGTATGATGCGGACCCTAAACCCAGGTACTATCTGCTAGCAGGGAAAGAGGTTAAATGTTAAAAGCCAAAACAGACAAGTTTTTCATCCTAGAAGTGACTGACGCAACCCACACTAATATTCTTTTCCTGAAAGTAAAAAAACTATAATTACTAAGGGAGAAGATGATAATAGAGCAAAGGCAAGAAATTTCAACATTCTTAGCAATAATTTAAATAAATTAGCCCCATTAAAGAATGTAGGATTATTTTTCTTCATAAAAATTTCTTCAAAAAAATGAATCTCCTCACTTGATAATCTGAAGGATTTTCTTCTCCATTTGGTCCCTTAAATGGAAGCAGCTTGGCCTTAGGTTTCTCTAAGGAAAACACAACAGGGATTCCTCCCTCAATGCCATAATCTTTTCTTAAACGGTGTCTAACCTGAAAAGAAGGAAGTTGAAAGAAAAAAAAAAAAAAAAAGGAGATAAGAAGGATAAGAATTAAGCCCACTGAAGAAAAGAGGCAAAATTAAGTTCCAAAATGTTATTAGGAACACATGTTTGTGAAAAAATAAGTGTTCTCCTTATAGCAAGAATCTGAAAATCACATAGCTTTTTTTTTTTTTCTTTTTTTTCTTTTTTTCTGGTAATAAAGTCAAATAGCATTTAAAAGGTCGAAATAAATGTAAAACAAGCTAGAAGCATTACCGATCTAGATAATGGGTCATTAGTTGACTCCCTTAAATCAGCCACACGAATTCTGGTTGGGTCAGCTCTAGCACCAGCTCCTGTTGCAGATAGAACCTTTAATCCTCTATGCACACATGCAGCAAGAAGTGCCACCTGTTACACACAAAGGCATAACAACTTAAGTTCAACCTCCATTGGCATCACAAATTTCTTTTCTGCTGATAAAGACAAACCATATAAGCAGAGAAGAAGCACCTTTGTATCAATGTTATCAATGCAGTCAAGGACAAAATCAGGATTGCCAGAAAGAATTTCTTCTTCAGATGATGCATCATATAGTAACACCTTTGCATCTATTTGGCACTCAGGAAAGATTGAAGAAAAATGCTTCTTGAGGCACAGTGCCTTTGGCAGACCAACATCTGCTCGTGTTGCAACAGCATGTCTATTTAATGATGAGAGCGATACCTTCTCATGAAATCAAAAACAACTACAAATTTTAACAAAGATTTTATATCAACAGGAAGAAAACAAAGAAAAATGTCGATACTTCACACTAGATCTACAATGCAAACATGATCCTATCCTATGAAAAGCAAAGTACAAACATCTAAACACATGGAAGATACCTGGTCAAAATCCACTAATAGGAGCCTGCCAACTCCAGATCTCAGAAGCATAGATGCGGCATGACTCCCAACCCCTCCAAGACCAATTACCACAACATAGGACGCCGTCACTTTTCGTTGCGATTCAAGGCCATAGAACTGGATGTTCCTAAGAACGACATAAAAACATCATACCATCATTACGAGCACCATTTAGATCACATGAAGTCACTTCTAAAAAACTTATACAATTAATTCAGGCAGTACCAGTTTACCTGGTCAGTTGTTCAGAAACTATTTCATCCGCTAAAAGGTCAAAGCCAACCATCTTATGATCCCCATCTCCATCAACTAAGTAGCTTCCTACATCAGTTTCTAATGAAATTCCCTTTCCTGTTAGCAGGATCATTCATAGACATAGAAAAACTGTGTTTTAATCTAACTTTATAAAATGATAAAAACATAATTAAACATCAGAACAACATATGTGCTAGTTAAATCCGAGCTAAGAGCATAAAGGAATCGATTGAAAAAGCAATTATGAATCGATTCAATACCATTTTTGTCGCGCTTGGTTGTAGTCCTCCTGAAAAAAAATATATATATACATATTCAACAACAAAATAAAATCTGAAGATTGTGAAAACAAATCAAACCAACCAGCTTTTTAGCTTCACATTTTCCGAGCAACCAAACAGAGAAGAGATTGTGAAACTTGCCTCTGAAGAAGCCTGAGAAGATAAATTGTAGAAACAGAACCCAAAAGAGCACCAGCTCCAACCAATGCCAAGCACTTGAGCTTCTCCTCCATTTTTGCTAAATTTTTGTGTCCTCCTTCTTCTCTCAGATTTATCAAGGGTTTTTCTGTGGAACAGATTGGGCCGTCTTGGGCTTCGAATGTATTGGGCTTCTCTGGCAAGAGGCCTAATTTTTCTTTTCTTTTTCTTTTTTATTTAAAAGTAAAACGAATTTGGGTCCCCGATCATTTATTATAGTATCAATTTAGTTCCTATTTGTTTACTTCTTAACCAATTGGTTCCTGACTACCACATTTAATTGGAACTGCCAAATGAGCCTCAACATGACGCTTACGTGGCTCCTTGAGGTCTACCAAATGAGATTATTTAAAGGGTAATGAGATGGATACTTTTTTTTTAATATAATTTTAACATATTATTAAATAAATTAATATATATTATTGATAAAAAAAAAGTGAATAGATGTAATTTTATAGATTTTAATTAAATGAAAAGAATTTATCATTAAATAATATATAATATTGAATGGAAAAATTTTATGAAAAAATTTTATAAAAAAATTATCTTTTAATTATTTTCCATATCCAAAAAAGCACACAACAGACAACACTCTTCCTATTCTTAATTGACTTGATAAATTGTAGTAATTATAATATGTTTATTTCATTTAATATGTATAAGCCTAGGGTTTTACAATTTAATTTTATAATTATTAAATTATAAAACACTAATTATTAGATAAAGAGATCATCTCTCAATATCAAAAGTTTTTTTTTTTAATTCAATAACCAATATATTACTCTCTTATAAAGTTCAAACTATAATAAAAACTTTATATATATATAGTCACTTATACCAACAACCTGTTAGTTTGAATGGAAGGAACTTGATTCTTCTTAAATAAGGCCTCCAGTTTGAGTCATGTGAATGAAAAAATAAACGCTCAGAGAGTTTTTTCCCTAATAAAGTTTGATGTGATTCGATTCTACATTCGTTGAAATTCAATGTGGTTACCTGATAGTGGGAGGTTAATACCAAAAAAATATATAGTCACTTATTATGCACCTTCAATGTCAACTGCTATAATATACATATTCTCTAATATCAAATCAAGTGTTGATACTTGATCTCAGGTTCAATTCCTCTCAGAACAAATACTAACCTACTAATTTAACCATTTCCTTTGTCAAAAAAAAAAAAAAAATCAAGTGCTGATGTATGTAATTGAAAACAAGGATTGAGTGGGTTGCTCCCCAAATGACATATACCTGGTTAAAGTGGGGTTTGAACTTAATTTGAATGCTCCAATACCCTACAGAAACATTTTTTAAATAAGCTGAGACGAAGTTTATGCGTCTTGCAGATATAAGCAGAGCAATAATTTGTGGCTCAAATTAATGATATAGTGCTTTCAAATATAATTTATAGAAACACCAAAACAATTCGTGGTTTGTGAGGATAAATGAGTGGTGGTTAAGTGCTCTTCTAAAGTAATAAAAAATGGTGTGCTCAGAAGGTGGAGGACATGTCATGACTAATTAAGCACGATCAAACCAAAACGTGCACCTAGATTTTCCACCGTTATATATCCCTAATAGAGTATATGTACCAGTATAAGGGCAGTGTCTTATACCAATATAAGCAAAACCAAGACAAAAATCCATTCAACCAACACTAACTCTTTGGCCACTGATAATATTTTGTGGCAAAGCATTATAATCAAGGAGAGTGTTTTACGTGTTATCTTCTAAAAAAAATTTAGGCGAAATTTTTTAAAATTTTATTTTTAATTAATAGTTTGAAAAACTAATATTGGATTGAAAGTTTTATATAAATAGATTATGCATGTTAATTTTCAAATTGTTGTAATATCTCTAATTACTTCATTGATTACATAAATTTAAACATCATTAAATATATATTAATAAATAAAGATTTTTTATATAAATATTAAAATTAAAATGCCTAATATATATAAATAATTAATATTATATTATATTTATTTAATATTATTTAAATTATAAACTCATTATCGTACGTAATATTATAATTACAATATTTTTACTTCTTTATCTGTCTCCCGTTTTGGGCCTGGGACGTCGTTTTACGAAAACCGAAGGAGTTCTCCACTTCTCCCACTTCCTTCTCCACTACTCCCACTTCCTTCCTCCAGTGCTGCGACTGCAACTAACTAATGATCACGACTGAATGATATATATATATTGGTTAATGGTCGCGACTGCATGATGATAAAACATAAGTTAACCTCTGTAATTAGGCCCTCAAACTTTCTGATTTGAACAAATAAATCATACTGCTGCTTTTCGTGTGAAATTAAAGACGAAGGATAAGTAAATATATGTTTTGACTTTTGAAGGAGAAGGGTTTTTATTATTTTGTAACGTTGATATTAAAACCAAGTGCAGGTGGTACCGTGCATGGACCCAGTTCATGCTAATATGGGCACTGTACTCCTCCTGCTTCACTCCCTTGGAGTTTGGCTTCTTCACGGAACTGCCCAGCAGTCTTTTCCCACTAGAAATTGCGGTACAGATAGCTTTCCTCCTAGACCTCGTCTTGCAGTTCTTTATGGCTTACCGAGACAGCCAGACATATCGAATGGTCTATAACCGTAACCAAATTGCACTCCGGTCAGTTTTTTTCCCCTTTTTCTTCCCTTCCATGCCTAATGACTACTGTTCTTCAAAAAAAAAATTTCTTTTTAATATCTGACACCAACTCAGCCAAGCTCTTATTATTCACTCATAAATCTTATGCAATGATGTTACTTTATCAAACAAATCTATTCCCATCCTCTTGTTTCATGTAATTCTATTAATCTTTTGGTGAACTTGATCATTACATATTGTTCCAGGTCATTCATATAAACTCTAAGCTGGTTGTCTTCCCCTTTATGGTATTGCAGGTACTTGAAATCTAATTTTATCATTGATTTTCTCGCTTGTATGCCTTGGGACCATATATACAAGGTATTTCTTTTTCCCAATCCTTTTATTGTTTGTTATGTCCAAATTTAACGACAGGTTCTTACAAACAAAGAGGGTGAATCTTTTAAACAGAGTTTTCAGTAATTAACTTGGTTTTATTTCTTCCGGTTCTTTGCATACCATTCATTTCCTTCTAAAACCTAAAGAATTGTTGCGTTTCTATGGTCAATAAATTTGATATTTTTTTGCGTGTTTCTGATTTCTAGTTTGCTTTTCTATTATTAGTACATATAAATAAATTGTTAATTAATTCTTGGCTTGAATAAGTGTTTACTGTGAATGTTGGCTATTAATTTCAGCATATATCACACTGGTCAAATTAGGAAATCAGTTGTAAGATCTGTCCTATATGACAACTGATAAGCTGCAGCCATTGTATTCTCTTCTAGTTCAGATAGTTCCATAATTCCATTCCTGATACAGCCCTCCTCTCTCCTCTCCTTTACACTCTTGTCATTTTTTTGGGATTTTTTGTGAACTATTTGTTTTAATCAGTCAGGCACACCATATTACTTACAATCAGAAGTCCTGTTGAACTTATATCCTGTACATGCCTGGCGATAATGTTAGCATGATAACCTCAACTGTAACTTTTCAACTAGACATGTGGCTGTGTACTTTTGTTTCTGAGTGAGGAATCACTCCGGTAACTTAATGACAGGTTGCTCATCTGTCATTTTTATATTGAAAACTAATAATTGGAGCGATAAAAATTGCATAACCAATAATTTGTTAGGACTGTTAATTTATTGTTGTGGCATCCTCTAACCATTCTGATAATATTCTTCTCAAACAGGCTTCAGGGAGAAAAGAAGTTAGGTATCTTTTATGGATTAGGTTATATCGAGTTTGCAAGGTCACTGATTTTTTCCAGAAGATGGAGAAGGATATACGGATTAATTACCTTTTTACCAGGATCATAAAACTTATTTTTGTTGAAGTATATTGCACGCATACAGCAGCTTGCATCTTTTACTACTTGGCTACCACTCTGCCTCCTGAAAAAGAGGGGTACACATGGATTGGAAGTTTAAAGATGGGTGATTTCAGTTATTCAAACTTCAGAGATATTGACATCTGGAAGCGTTACACAACTTCCATGTATTTTGCGATTGTCACAATGGCTACAGTTGGTAAGTTAGCTGTTTTCTTCTTTCTTCCTTTGTTCTTGGTTTATTACTATCTCTGACAGAAATCATTATTGTTGAAGTTATTTGTTTTGTTGGGATCCTTTGTTTCCTCATGTTTAAAGTGATTTCTTTTGATTTTTCAATTTTCTTAAGCTGAAGTTCATTTTCAGCAATCTCTAATCAATCCATTGTTTCCATAAGTTGTATTTCTATAATATGCTAACAATCCATTCCATGATGGTTTCTGTGTCCTGCATCAGTTCAGCGTTTTGCTGATTAATTAATGACTCCGCTCTTTCGGCTGCAGGATATGGAGATATACATGCTGTCAATATGAGGGAAATGATATTCATAATGATTTATGTCTCATTTGACATGATTCTTGGCGCTTATTTGATTGGTAATATGACAGCATTAATTGTAAAAGGATCTAAGACAGAAAAGTTCAGGGATAAAATGACGGATGTCATGAAGTATATGAACAGAAATAGACTTGGAAGGGACATACGTAATCAGATCAAAGGTCACTTGCGCTTGGAGTATGAGAGTAGCTACACTGAGGCTGCTGTTCTTCAGGCTCTCCCCATCTCCATTCGTGCCAAGGTAACAAAGAAATGGTAACTTAGCTCTATCCTTTTCTGTAAATTAACTTTAATTGCATTTTACTTGTCCAAAAAAATTTAGGAGAGATAAAGCAATAGAGTGATGATAAAAAAAATATAGGACAGTCTCTATCAACATGGAATGAAGGTGTCCTCTAATATGCATCAATGCCTGGAACTCTTTGAAAACAAGGCCATGCCAGATATTCTTTGTCTACCCTTCTTTGAGTCAGAGAAGCTTCTTAAGGGATTGTTGAGATTCTTTGTAACAACAAAGGAATCATCTGAAACTTCCGGTTTTTTTCTCTACCAGGTGTCTCTCAGGGAGTAAGTTTACATGTCTCTACCTTGTTGAGCAGACATGAGCTAATACTCTTAAAGGGGACACTCAACAGTCAACACTACTCAAATTTGATTACCAACCATTTCTGAAGATAATGTGTCAGGTCAATCTTGCTTGCTTGCTTGTTTAGTGAAATAGTGCCTGCATTTCTGAAGGTGACTGCATAAGTGCCATTTCTCTAATATTGGTTCTTGAAACATCAGACTAATTCATGGATCTATTATATTTGCACTTTGTCCTATAATTTATATTTGTGTTTTTGCATGCTGTCTATAATTCTTGTAATTCCAAGTATTTTATGTGTTAATTTGTTGATTATTTTACTCTAATACTTTTATTTTTTTTAATAGATTTCTCAAACACTGTATATGCCATATATTGAAAAGGTTTCTCTTTTTAAGGGATGCTCTACGGAATTTATCAGTCAGATTGTAAGTCAGATTTCTGCTCTCTTATAATTAAGATGCTGGAAAAGTAAAATATCATGATTATAATACGAGGTTCATTCATATAGCATCAGGTGCTATTATGCACTTGGATTTCCAGTTATATCATGGCTCATTGAGAAGTTAGGTTGCTATCATTTGGCATGTCTCTACCCTAATAACAGGGCATTGGTGTGCTCTGGACTCTGAAAAGTGTGTGACTCTCCTTACACATTAAGCCTGTCTACATACGTTCTTTTGCCATTTTTATCATTTTAGGTCACCACTTTATCGTATCCATTGATTTTAAGACTGATATGCATTGTTGTGGCCCATCATAACAAGGGGTTTTTTGAAGGCTGATTTTAAGTAGCCTGGTATATGTTAATTGCATCTTGCATTAATATGAATTTGTTAAACACAAAGATGTCAAATAGAACTTTGTTCTTCACTATTTGCAAAAGAAAGAACAAAAAAGAATAAGGGGCGAAAAAAAAGAAAAAGGAGTGAAAAAGAGAGAGAAGAATATTGTATTAATATGTATTAGTTTTTTCAATCTTACAGGTGATTAGGGTCCATGAAGAATTTTTTCTCCCAGGAGAAGTAATAATGGAACAAGGAAATGTGGTAGATCAACTTTATTTTGTCTGTGATGGTGTGCTGGTATGATTCCATATCCCATTTGTTATAGTTTATAAGTTCATTTGCTCTTTTAATCGCATGGTTTGTTTCTTCTTCTCCCTACTTGTTACTTGTCCTGGACATATCTAATGAATAAAAGAAATAGCATCTTACGTAATATCATCAGTGGTCTGTGGTTGTAAATTCATTGTTGATGTTGTTAGAATAGTGGCTTCTAGACTCATGCAGTTGACCTCATTTTCTAGATGTGTTTGATTTATTGAAGATCAGCCAAAATTGTCTATGAACAGGAGGAAGTTGGCATAGGGGAAGACTGGTCAGAAGAGACAGTTTCACTTCTGCGACCTGAAAGCTCATTTGGAGGGATCTCTGTACTGTGCAACATTCCTCAACCCTACACTGTTCGGGTTTGTGAACTATGCAGGCTTTTGAGATTGGATAAGCAATCATTTTCAAATATTCTAGAGATATTTTTCAATGATGGGAGGAAAATATTGAATAACCTTTTAGAGGTAACTTTGCTATGTCAATGTCTTTATTGCTTGCCAAAAAGAAAAGATCTTTAGTGCTTTCCTATGTGGGGGACAAGTACGTGTAGGGTATCATTTAAGTCAGGATCTGAATTGCTACTAGAGAAAATTCGATTTTTATTTCATTTCCAACTGATATGTTACTTTATCCAAATTTATAGGGAAAAGAAAATGATTTTCGAGTGAAACAATTAGAATCAGACATTGCATTTCATATTGGAAAGCAAGAAGCTGAAGTTGCTTTGAGGGTGAACTGTGCAGCATATAATGGAGACCTATATCAGCTAAAAGGTTTGATTGGAGCTGGGGCTGATCCGAACAAGACTGATTATGATGGGAGATCACCCTTGGTAAGTACTGTGCTTCTGCAAATTTCCCGTTTTGGTCTTTCTTTATAGTTGTGTATTCTTTATTCTTGAAAATTAGAAGATTGAATTTCTATTCTACGCCCATCCCTGTAACCTCCATTTAAATGGGTAGCATGATTGGTCCTTTTGAGGTCTCAAACCCAGACATCATGCCTGTAAAAGTAATCAGCCCATGAAATGCTTTGAATAGAAGAGGAATGCTAGCTGCACTCGCCTTTCTCCAGCACTCTCCAACACTCCCTCATCTAAAGTAGCCACGTGAACATTTTTGGTTGGAAACTTTGAATTGCGAGCCAAATTTTGTTACGTGGACATTTTACATGAGAGAGTGTCGGAGAGTGCTGGAGAAAGGCGAGTGCAGCTAGCATTCCTCTTGAATAGAATCTAGAAACTATTATGTCATGTTGATTTTTTGTGCCAACTGTGGTAAATATGATAACTCTTGCTTCCTTCAAAATAAATCAACAAATATAATTTAGAAAAAAGCGCTCAGCGGAAGAATTGCTTTAACTAATTGAGTCCTTGTTTTATAGCATCTTGCTGCATCAAGAGGATTTGAAGAGATTACACTTTTTCTTATTAAGAAAGGTGTAGACATCAACCTTAAAGGTATTTGCCTTCTCTTTTTGAAATATATTGAACTACTATTGACTTGTGGTGGATTAAACTTTAGTCTTTTACCATGTGATTATAACCTTACCGATTAATTTTTTGTATTTAGATAAATTTGGGAACACACCCCTGCTGGAAGCCATAAAAAATGGACATGATCACATTGCTTCTTTACTAGTTAAAGAGGGGGCTTCTTTGAACGTAGACAATGCTGGTAGTTTCTTGTGTGCGGCTGTGCTGAGGGGTGATTCAGACTTTCTAAAAAGGCTTTTGTCCAATGGCATTGATCCAAACTCCAAAGATTATGATCACCGAACTGCACTTCATATTGCTGCATCTGAAGGATTATATTTGATGGCAAAGCTATTGATAGAGGCCGGTGCAAGTGTTCTTACAAAGGACAGGTTCAGCTAAAATAACTTCATTTTCATTTTGTGCTTTAGTGATACAGTGTTCTTTCTTCATCAACCTTAAGTTCATATGAGGGCACAGGATTTAAAGCTTATTAGTTTGTGTTTATCTATTAATTGTATTTCATGTTTTATCTTCAGATGGGGAAACACTCCTCTTGATGAAGGCCGGATGTGTGGGAGCAAAAATTTGATTAAGCTACTTGAGGATGCAAAATCCATTCAGTTATCAGAATTTCCTCACCTCACTCAGGAATTTACAGGTACTGCTACAAGACTGAAGTCAGTAATCATTTGAAACATCTTTAGGAACAAGGCAAACTGTTTATTGAAAGAATTTTGTTTCTGCAAAGGGATTGTGAACAGTTTGAACAAGTATACTTTGAACAGGAATAAATCACATTTAAGTCCAGGACTTTTGCAGTTTTCTTACTGACTTATTAAGTAGAGATATTGTTCTGAATTGCAGATAAAAAGCATTTAAAGAAATGCACTGTATTCCCTTTCCACCCCTGGGATGCTGAAGATCAAAGAAAACATGGAATCATGTTATGGGTTCCCCACAACATTGAAGAGCTTGTAAAAGAGTCTGCCAAGCTGCTAGATTTTCCTAGTGGTTCGTGTATGCTCTCAGAAGATGGCGGTAAAATTCTCGATGTAAATATGATAAATGACGGACAAAAGCTTCATTTGATCTGTGAAGAACATTAGGTATACACTTTTTGTATGTATATATTGCATCTCATGTATGTGCAAGACTGTTGCATCTCTGCATTTGTATTGCCAATGTGAGTGTCAGCAATATGTAAATCATGCAATGGTTTGCAGAAAAATTGGAGTACATTTACTCTTTCTTTTCTTTTTTTGTTCGTTGGAAAAGGAAATTTTATGTTAGCCTACAATGAATAGTTCAGTTACAGAAAAGACCCTTATCATTTACCAACCAATTGAGCTCCAAAGTCCAAATTGATTTTCGAATAATTTGAAGATTTAATTAGCTAAAAAAAAAAAAGTTTGAGGATTTGTTTGATTATCTGGAGAAAGTAGAAAAGCTAAAACCTAAACTAATGGGCCTTTTTTTTAAAGAACCGGCCCACTTTAAAGTTTTTATCCTAGCCCAAATCCAAAACGACGGCGTGATTTCTAATTCCCTAAACCCAAACTCGCCAAGGGCAAGAGAACTCGGTCGCCTCCTTTGTTGCTTTGAGGTAACCTCTACAGTCTCAACTCCCAACGGCCGGAAGCCACACCAGACGGCGGAAACGGCGGCAGCTCATCTCTCCATAAACAGGCAGCATCATGGCTAAGCAGTCGAGTACTGTTGCCAAAACTAAGAAGAAAGGTAAGAAGGGAAGTAAGAAATCAGGTCCTGATGCTGTTGCTATGAAGCTCAAAGCTTCGAAACCTAATCCCTTCGAGACCATCTGGTCCCGCCGGAAGTTCGACATCCTCGGCAAAAAGAGAA